CAGTCGCCCCAGTTGTGGATATATTTTACCACCGGCTGCTGCACTGTAACCGGAGGATGTGGAGACAAATGCAGGGCATGAGGTTACTGTATGTCTGGGAATGTTCCTGTACAGGGACCCACTGTTTTACCAGACCGGGTCTAACCTACGAGCAGCCGGGCAGTGGAGCCCCAATGATGGTTAGTGATTAGTTCAGCAACGCTGGATTCCCTCAGAGTACAGTACCTGTTTGTTTTGACTGCTTGAGGCCAGTGTGTCTGCTACATGTGATGTGTTGCTGCTTAACAAGCGGATTAACAATCCATGATGTTACCGTCAGTGCTACGCTACCTGTTGGAATTAATGTCATTATTTTGGGAGTGCATGTGGTTGTGTGGGGGAAGACACTCCAACCAGTGGTTGAATTTACTGGCCTTGGAGCAATTTGAAAGGGAGTGATGTTTTTAATACATGGTGGGACTCAACGATAAGTTTAAAAAAAAAAAAAAAAAAAAAAACACTGCATGTCTGTTAATGTGTTTCTGTAACCTTACACAGAATCGTTGTAAGGTTGGAGAATTTACTATGTCTGTATTATGCCAGTTAAAATATAGGGTTTTTTTTATTACCTGTTTTGAGTGTTACGAATCTCTTTTCATCGGTACATGTATCATTGTTTACTTGTCTAAGGAGGAGAAATTCATATTAATTAATTCCATCGCGGTTCGTTGTGATGTCCACTTGCAACACAACACCAGCAGCAGGAGTTGTGCATGTTCACAAACTGTCCTCTTGTTTTAAGTAAGAGGCTTTTTGGCTCTCTGATTCTGAAACAATTACAAACCATTTGGAGTTATGAGGGGTGCCCAGCTAATCTAAAGGTACCCAAGATTAAACATTAAATGGCTGGAAATGAGCCAAAAAAAAAAAAAAAAAGCATGCCATGGGCACTTATATAGTCACACTTTCATTCTGTTAATTTAAACTGAAAACTCATTAATTTGTAAACATACAAATAAGTGATACACTGCCGATTTTTCAAGTTTTCCCACTTACAGAGAATGGACAGTTCTGTAATTTTCATTGTAGGTACACCTCAACTGTGAGAAACAGAATCTACAAAAAATTCCAGTAAATCACATTGTTAGAATTTTAAATAATTTATTTCCATTTTATTGCACGAAATAAGTATTTGATCACCTACCAACCAGCAAGAATTCTGGCTCTCACAGACCTGTTAGTTTGTCTTTAAGAAGCCCTCCTATCCTCCACTCATTGCCTGTATTAACTGCACCTGTTTGAACTCGTTACCTGTATAAAAGACACCTGTCCACACACTCAATCTATCAGACTCCAACTTCTCCACTATGGGCAAGACCAAACAGCTGTCTAAGGACACTAGGGACAAAACTGTAGACCTACACAAGGCTGGGATGGGCTACAGGACAATAGGCAAACAGCTTGGTGAGAAGGCAACAACTGTTGGCG